CCCGAATAATTGGAAATAAATAAAATGGCACTCTTACAAAGCTCAAAAGGCTTCTATAGAGTTCCTTTTTATTTCAACTGTTTATTTTTATCTGGCCAATTTTGGTTTATTTACAAACCAATTTAAGCAGCTTGTTTGACAGTCTTACGTTTGCGATTACAATAACACTATTAGTATTTCCAATTAACCTTTGGGTAATATTTCACTAATTGTTGTTAATACCCACCGGTTTGTACTAAATACTTGCTTACTCACTAAAGCAAATAAAATGCAAATTTTTACAAGGGCTCCACAATTGTTGCCTTTTTACCAAGGTACTCCACTTACCAAAGCACTTTAAACGAAAAATATTTTTATTTTAAAGTTTATTAACAACGCTAAGAATTAATTTTATTTTATAAAAATAATCAATTATTACAAGATTTTATGTTAATGGTATATTTATTTCCCTCTGCTTTTTCAAGCAAGGCCTGTGAAAATTGCACCGTAATTAATTGAATTCTTTAATTTTAAATCAGATTAAATTTTATATTGAGAATATTGAGAATCCGTAATTATTGTCATGATCACTTTTCTTATGACAAACAACTATAATTGCAATCCCACAACACGTATTCCATACATAATCATAGATCAGAATCACGTAAAGATAATAACGCGAATTCTACTATAAAAACCATTCAAACTCAGAAAATTTTGCCCGTTGATCAACTGAGAATATATTTAATATTTAAGCTAATGATATTTGTGCCTTTGCCATTAATTGTGAAACCATTCACGTTTCTTGACGAAGTTGACAATGCCTTTTGCATTTGTTCGTGAAGCACTCAGTTAGTTGCTTAATAGCAAAATTATTTTGTTCGGATGCTTTCTTCTGGTCAGTATATTTACAACGTTTTAGACAATTTGGATACCCATGTGATTATTATTAAAATTTGAAGTGAAAAAATACTTTAGAATGGAGAGAATCATTTTATTGAATTGAAGAATATATTAGATGAGAATATTCCATTTACAAGATTCAATCAAATTGCTTCAATTAATTTTCATGACACTTAAAATTGCTTTGATAAAGAAGCATATGACATTTCAATGTCAACTTACTGATAAATGCCCAACACTACTTCTAATTCGGACAACATCCAAGAAATATGATTTTATGATTTTGAATTGATTCGTTGAGGAACCAAGATGATTTCTAGAACAAACTATATACTACAAAAATAAAAAAAAAGCGGGCGAGCTTTGGAATAAAAAAAGACCTCAAATATTTATAAAGTTTTATTTTTAAAATCAAATAATTAAAAATCCTAATTATGAAATGGTTTCATATTAATATCGACATGGTTCCTATTCGAATAATGTTGATTCGAATCAAATGAATGATTCGGAATTAACTTGAGTATTCGAATTATATCAATATCAATATTTACAAGATAGCTCAGCGACAATTAATTCTAGAGCTGATCGATTTTGGATTAATGATTGTAAAAGCAATTTTATTATTTCAAATATTATTATTATAAACAAAATGAAAAGATGATAAAAAGATAAATGAATATATAATGAATAAATTTATAGCAGAAATTAAATTAATCATCTATTGATAATTCATCAATTTCATCAACCTCATTAATCCTTTCAACATTTTTTCCTTTACCATTTAAGAGAAGAGAGTTGATATCAAGATTATTTAATGAACTGTCATTACTATAACCTTTTGAGCTTTTTGATTTAGTAATTTCATCTTCTAATATTCTACTTGTATGACAAGCATCTGGATGCGATTTGTGTAATTGTTGTGAATTGCTATTACTACCACCACTGCTGCTTCTGCTACCATTATTAAAATCAATTTTATGTTTTTTAGTTTTGTAAAATTTGGATAATCTTTTTATTAAGCTATTGTTATTACTATTTTTAAAAATTTCTTCTAGTTTATTAACAGCAAAGTCAAAAAGCTCTTCAATATCTAGCCTTTTAGATGGATCCACATCCCAACATCTTTGCATCATATGTGCATAATCAACTGGCATTCCAGGTAATATTGGTGGTCGTAAACCTTGACATATATCAAATATTAAATGGTGATTATGACCTCTATCATCAAATGGTGGATGGCCTGCAAATATTTCCCACATTAACATCCCAACACTATAAATATCTGTTTCTTTGGTGTTCTTTGCATTAATTTTGCCTCTAAGCAGTTCAGGTGCAACATATGGTATAATTCCATAGATTTTATTTGATGATTTTTCATCAACTGGTCCACATAATCCTAAATCTGCAATATAACAATAGCCTCCATACAATAATATATTACCACTATGTAAATCACAATGGATTAAATCTTTTTCATGTATATGATATAATGCCTCACATAAATATCTAAAGATTGTAATTCTATCTTTTAATGTTAAATTTGAATGATTTTGTTGCAAATAATCCCTTAAATTTCCATCTTCATGATAATTAAGAACCATCATATAGTCTCCATTATCTGGGAATTTAGTTATACCATAGAAAGTAACAATCATTGGTGATTTAATTTTACAATAATTCATTGCCTGTAATTAAATATATAATAACTAATTAATATTATATAATATTATTATTTATTTTGGTATTAAAAAAAAAAGAGTTACCTCATTAAAAAATTCTTTTCCTGGATTACTTGAATTGTTTAAACATTTTAATGCTACATCAACAATTCCATAATAACTAAATTCCTTTTTATTTTCATCATAATCAATTATTCTTCCCCTTGTCCATGTGGCAATATAGATTGAACTAAACCCACCTTCAGTTAATTTTGTTATGTTTTCAAATTGCTCAAAAGGTATTCATTCTAAAATATATCTTGGCAGAGATGATTTAATTTGACATTGTTGAATAAAATTATCAACAATGTTACTTCCAGATGTCCAAGTATTAAAAGACTCCCATAATTGTAAACTAATGCAACTTTCACAGAATCTATCAGAGTATTTTGTTGATTTACACTTATTACATTCTTTTTGTTTGCCCAATTTATCTCTTGCATTACCTAACTCAAAATCATAAATAAACTTTTCTTTACAAAATTGTTTTTCATTTTCAGAAAGCTCCTTACTTTTTTTGACTAATGAAAAAAAATAATCTTTTCTACTTTCTCTATAAGAATTAGCCAAAGCATTATTAATCATTTCATTATTAATTTTATGTACAAAGCTCCTTCTTTCTGTTGATAACAATTTATGAAATGACATTTTTAAAAAAAAAGGGATTTGGACTAGGAAAATCAACCTCTCAGCTGATTTTTTTATTTTGAGTTTTCTTACTTAATATTAATCTATTATACAAGGATTACAATTGGAGAAAAAATTGTATCTTGTTTGCTTAGTAGAGGAATGAGATATAGGGCTTGGAATACTTTCTTTGTATATTAAAATCATACGTGTAACATGTGTAACCAATTTTAAAAGGATTGTTACTAAAAATAGATTTTTTGTCTGAGGGTCGATTTTCCTATATATATATATAGTCCAATTTCCAAATATGTAATTTTTGTTTATTGAATAGGAGCGTGTAACAAACAAAAAAAAAATAATCATTTGGGGAATGAATAATTCATGGATCAAGTGAAGTTTACAGCGAAAATTACAATTGTTATTTATATGTTATTGAATTCTAGGCGATTTATTTACTTAAAAGTGATTTCTTGCAAATAAAAACATCTATATATTGACGAAGCAAATATGTTGGCGACGATTACTTTTTCCATTTATAATTGTTAGACATTTTTACATTGTTAGCTTTTATCTTAGTGTGGCTTTTTAGATGACTCAACTTTATCAAGAATTGGACGACTTGTCATAGAAGAGCTTTCTTGCGACTTATAGGTTGGCCGAGTGAAGCAAGTATTTGACAAAGCTTAAATGTTTATATTGTTGTTGATATTTTACTCTAGATTAGTAGCCAACCAGTTAGCTATCTTGATATTTTCGTTGGCTTGATTTGATCAAAAGTTAACCAACTTCTCATAGAAGCAAAAAAAAACTTTGAATATCAATATGGAATAATTTATTTTAATTAATTAGAATAGCTCTCAAAGCAATTATGCTCTGATAACACTTGCTCAAGTGCTTCGCTTCTATCTTTTTCTTGGGTTCTTTTGTATTCTTGGCATTGGCTAATCTTTTAAAAAAAAAATTTATACGCATAGTGTTGACAATAAATCATATGGATAATCAACTTAATAATTTATTCTTTAAAGCAAAGTCAATAGGAAGTCTGGTTTGTTTCTTTGGTAAGTAAATAAACCTAAAAAAATTTATTTTAAAGAAAAAAAAAATTTTTTTTGATAATCTAAACTACTACCCTTGTTCTCATAATAACAATAATTCCTTTCATCAAAAGTAATTCAATTGTGTGCTATTACGCAAAATTTATCAACTCAAATACCAACTTCTCTTTTCTTTCTTGTAATTCATTAGCACGCTCACAAAATTCCTCTTATAATCCTCGTACATTCACGAAATCTTTCTTGAACTTTAAAAACTTCTCAAATAGCTGTTTTACTAGGAATCACGTTTATTTCTCTGAAGTTCTTTTTGGCAGACTTTATTTATTTTTTGTTCAATTAATTGTTTGAAATAAAAAAAACCACAAGAGAATTAGTCACATATTAAAGAAAATATGTATTAATCTTGAAGACATAATTCTAATGTGCAGCAGTTGAGTAATATTAATAGGTATAATTTAATATTAATATTGGCAAGTATCCATTGAACAATACTAATAATAATATCAACAACAACAATAATTAATTATTTATGGTACGTTTAAAGGAAGAAAAATCAAGATGATAAATTTTTTTTTATCAAACTTGATGATACCTTCTCACAACGGATGCACGGGGACACATAAGAGAATTTTATGCCACTACACACAAATTGATCATTGTTTATTTTAAAATTATTTAACAAAAAAAAAAGTGACAAAGAATTTAAATCATCCTATTAAGGATAAGTGCACATCTTCTTAAAATCGCACCCAATCTGATCACTAAAAAGTTCTTTAAATTTGTTCCAGTCACAATACTCACTTCCACAACCTGGAATCACAAGTGGTTTAAAGTTCAATACTGCTCGTATCTTTACATTATCCTTGTGATCACCTGAACAAGAATATACTTCCCAATAAAGTGTAGAAGTCCAGTGTAAAGTTGCATATTCTGTATACCTGACTTTTTTAATTTGTTCAAAGGTTAAATCTGCTGTGAGTGGGTGATTTTCTTTAAATACTCCCTGTGATCAAAAGACAAATATAGATGTAATTGTAAAAGAATGGAAGATGAAAATAAAAATGAAAATTTTCATATACCAGTAAAGTAAATGTTGTAAGTAAAATATATCCATGAGCAAACTTCAAATCAGCTATCATAAGAGACTTCCCACTTATATAATCATCAACTCCATTTACAAGTTGAGTAATATAGCGACAGGCTATTCGCTTATTAAGAGGATGTCCATATTGTACTGTATAATATCCCCAAATATCCCAATAATATCGTAATAATAGAAGTTCTTTACGGCTTAGTAATGAACACCATGTGTCAGTTCGATTAAAATGAACAACCCAATACTGGCAATTAGTAAACATATATGGCAATAAATGTGGATCAAGAGGCGGACTAAGACCATGTTCATCAGAAAGACGTTTTGCAATTTGTGCTAGAGTCTTGTTGCCATAGGAATAAAGTTGTTCATCTCGTAATGGATTGTTTTTAAAAACGGTCTCATTCCATCGTGAGCAGGTATCAAAGAATGGTGTCAAAATCTCATCTTGCTCCTATACAATATAATATTAATATATTAATATGTGTGTTAACAGATTTGAACAAAAATGGATTATAAATGGCATAGTAAAATTTTTATACCACTGGTACAGACGAAATGTATACAGGTTGACTTTTACAAGTGTCTAAAGAGCCTTTGCCATTAAATAATCCTTCGGAAAAGGCCATTGCCGATGCACCAGCTCTTTAAACAATATTGTATATTATATATGTGTGTGTTAATTAAAATAAAAAAAAAAGTAGAATTCCAAACATGAAATTGTACCTTGAAGTACCGGCACTTTGAAATTTTACAACTTCGGGATCGTATTTGACTCTCCAAAATTCTGGGTATCTTTGACGAGACTGCTTACCATCAAAAAACGATTCGATTTCTCCTCGTTTGATCAATTGAAAATTTTTCCTCATCGGGAAAACATTTTTATACTATATATAAAAAGAAAGATGTTTTTTCAGTTATGATAAATTTTAATGAATATGACAAATAATGTTTATTACCCATTCTTTTGCAATAGGAACATTAGCAAATGCTTTTTCCAATTTTTCATAGGCATTAATATCATTTGGGGCTGGATATCTCGCTCCTAATAATTGTTTTAAAAGGATTATTTAATGCGGTCAAATTTGTACATGTTTGTATACGAAATAATATTTACCATGTCTCATGTTCAAATGTAACTGTACTAATTTACATTTCTCAGGATATTTCACGGGTTTAACATCAAGAGAAAAGGCAGTCCGTTCTGGTTCAAGGTAAAATAAGTTGCCGTTTATAAGTTGTTCTAGAGAATGTTTGTATACATGGCATTGTGTCGGATTATAGGAAACAAATAAAGCAAAGATAAAAATTGAATATATAATGTGGTGTGAAAACTGCATCTTCTTTAGAATTGCAAGTTGCATTTGTTCAAGAAAAGAGAATCCATTTCTTTATATATTACGTTAGGTCGATTATATAATAATAATTTAAATTGTTTAAGGAACGAAATTTCTATTTGGAATTTTCTCAAATAACATTTAATGGTAATCTTTTAGATAATGTTGAGATGAATTTCACGATCGCCCAATAATAATAATGTGAAATTTTGCTTTGTGGAAACCCTTAAAAATTTTTAAAATAATTATTTTTCAAGAATAGTTAGCAACCAAGTATGATCTATTAAAAGAACAATTTCTAAAGTTTTTAAAACAAGGGATAATTGCTTTAGATCCGAAACAACAGACTTAATAAACAAGAAGTCATCAAGCTTCATTTCTTGAAATTGCTTCGAATTGAACAATTGAGTAATTTGAATAAACGAACAAAACGAGTAATATAAGGATTGAGTTGTATTACGAACGTGAATTTCTATTATGTGGATAAGGATTTTTTAATTCTCCACAAAATATCTGAGCAAATTTTATACAGTCAAACAAACTCGTTCCAACGAATTCATAATCAACGAAATTTAACAACATATTAATTAGTAATTTTGGTACAATGAATCTTAAATGGGTCTGTACTAGGAAAATCGAGCTTCCAGCTATTTTTTTTTTTTTTGTCTTTTTACTCAACAATAATCTCTAATAAAGGATTTACAGTTGGTGAAAAAATTGGACCCTGATTGCATAGTAGAAAAATGAGATACAAGGCTTGGAATATTTTCTTTATATATTAAAAACATGTAACCAAATTTATAAGGGTTGTTACTAAAAATAGATTTTTTGTCTGGGAAGGTTGATTTTCCTATATAGTACAAACCCCAAATGCTAAATTAGCTTGATCACAAATATTGGAATCTTAATTGTTCTCATTTGAAATTTTCTAGTCTGCCATAAAATTATTGATGATGATTTAAATGTTCTAATTCAATTACGCGTAATAATACAATTTATTATATTTATTGTTGTTTTACCTTTATAATTATTCTATTATTTTCAGTGGTCTGCAAAATCATGATTTTATAAAAAAAAATAATACTAAATTTCAAGTTGGCTCGAATTAAGTATAAACTCGGCTTGTTCAGAGCTTTGTTCACAGCAACATGTTTAACAAAAGACATGATAAGGTCCAAAAATTTTCCTCGCTCAGCTTTAGTTAATTCAGAATTTTTTTGATCTATAATCAATTTTATTAACAAATTTTTACCATGACAAAAGCATAAAATTTTGCTCAATTTTATCTCTGAATTGAAATCTATAAAATGATATTTATTTGAAAAAAAAATTATAAATTAAGTTAAACTTTATCGAAGGACAGCAGCTGTGTTGAATCATGTTTCAGTACTGCTGGTCGTATTGAATAAAACTATTATAAGATGGATTTTGTTAATTTGCTATTGAATCCATCTTAGAAATATACTTTAAGAAGTTAGATGGTACTAAAAAATTTTGACATTTTGAACCTTCTGAACCTGATGTTGTAAAAGCCCAGACGGCCCTTTCATGAATTAAAGCTAAGAGAACAAAATTTTCAATATCATAAAAGATATTATAACCTTAACATTTCCCATATTATCCTATGGAGCCTAAGCATCATCATTACCGAAATTCAAAACCTAAATCGAAAGTCAAACTATGGATACATTTCACTAAAAATCGCTAATTCTTTTGTCAATTAACTATAAAAAATATTATCAAAAAATCATTATCAAATTTTATAATTAATCCTAGTTAATCCAAACCTTTTTTTAGCCTATTTCCTCAGTACGGTTTCGGTTTAGGTTTCGGTATCTTGACATAGTTTCGGTGGACACCGTAGTCAAGCGCTGAAACAACTTTCGCAAAATCCACTTAGTGCCTTGTTTTTGGAATTTTCTTTATTTCGTTCAAATGATTGTAAAAAAACAACCTTTTCTATTTTCTCTATCGTACATAGAAATCTTCGGTGAAATATAAATACACTTAATGGTACCGAATAATTGCAAATAAATAAAATGTCACTCTTACAAAGCTCAACGGCTTCTGTAAAGTTCCTTTTATTTCAGTTGTTTTTTTATCTGGCCAATTTTAGTTTATTTACAAAACAATTTAAGCAGCTTGTTTGACGGTCTTACGTTGCAATTACAATAGCACCGCTAGTATTTCCAATAACCTTTGGGTAATACTTTAATAACCATTGCTAATACCCATAAGTTAACCAACCTTTGTACTAAATGCTTGCTCACTCACTAAATTATATTATTAATAGTTACTAACACACATTAGTTAGTTCAATAACTTAATGCAGTTTTTTACAAATGTTCCACAATTGTTGCCTTCTTACCAAGGCACTCCATTTGTTACTTTTACCAAAACGCTTTAAACGAAAAATAAAGCAACGGTATTTTTATTTTAAAAGTTTATTAAAGACGTTAAAAATTAATTTTATTTACTAAAAATAATCATTTGCTACAAGGTTTTATGTTAATGCTTTTTCAAGCAAGGCCTGTGAAAAATGAAGGTTTAATAAATAATCATCAGTGTAGTTGTCATAATAATATATAATTATAATTAATAGTTGCCAAAATTATCTCGTAATTATTTAAACTCCTCATTAAATTGGAGAATATTGAGTATTGACATGATATTTTTTTATCCCATACATAACATCACGCAAAGATAATAATAATAATGCGAATACAGTTCACTCTCTCTATAACGAACCCTCTGTCCCTATATGTAATTTCTCTGCTTTTGGTCGTTATAGAGAGAGTTTATTAAGATGGTCGTTATAGAGAGAGAAATTAATTATAAAAAATTGAAACGGGACAAAAGGGAAGTTCGTTATAGAGAAATTTTACTTAGTGGTCGTTATAGAGAGAGTAGACTGTACTACTATAAACACTCAAATTTTACTCATTGGTCAATTTAATATTTAAAGGAAATGATATTTGTTCTTTTGCATTAATTGTGAAAATCATTCATGTCTTTTGCATCTATTCATGAAGCATCTAGTTAGCTGTTTAATTGCAAAGTTACTTTTATAAATAAAGTCTTTCTATGTCTTGAAAAAATTCGATAGCATCAACTTAATATTAACATTGACATTAAAATTAAAAATAATATTAATCAAGTTGATTAAGCTAATAACTCTATACACACAATGCAAAAAAAAAATACCTCCCGCATCTAAATAATTAATTACCTCCCGCATCTAATAAATTAGATCGTTTGAACCGATACATCACCACCTTTTCTTTTCGTATGGCTAAGAAACAACACTTGATAGTAATAACCTAATCAATTTTATTGAGATTAGTTTGTTTCTAACGACGAAATTCCCACAAGTGATAAACATGAAAAAATATACAATTTATTCAAACTACGTGTATAAGTCTGAGAAAATACAAAATCACTAAAAATAATAGCTCAATATTTGAACCCAGAAATAATTTTAATTTCTGAGAGTCAAGCATTAAATGTTAAATAATAAAGCCATCTTCAAAGAAGTAATAGAAATCAGGTCTTTTATCTGTGAGGTAGATAAGTTTAATATTAAATGATGATGTTTCAATAGAAATTTCTATAAGAAGGCGAAATATTAGATTTAAAATACGAATATTTTATCATTAAATTATGATGCGAGTGTTAAATGTGTAAATAGTAGAAATCAGTATGTTTTATATTCAGTTTCAAATATTTGTGCTTAATTGTAGAGTAGTAACAATAATTTCTGGATTAACAACTAAATTATTTTTTTCGTTTCATCATAAACCCATTTGTTCACATAGCAGTATAAACTACTTTTGTTGATTTTATTAATTTTGTTATATGATTTGAAACATCCAATAAAAAGATTTGTAGATGCAGGCTAAAGGCAATATCTATCTGAGCATATTGCTGGCTTACACTTGTTACATTCTCATTTATGATAAATTCAAAATCATAAATCAATCATTCTCTACAATATTTTTTTTTTCAGAAAGTCCTTATTCTATCGGGTATATTTATTTAAGTGAATATTTCATTATGAATTTTATATCTCTCTGGAACAAAACCAGACAAATAGCAGTCGCCTCTAAAATCTTTAAAATACTAAAACAAATAAATTCAAAAATATTGGTCGATAAGTTTTATGGCTTATGACTCTAGCTTTAAAACTTATCGTTTAAATTTTTCTTAGAGACAACAAAAAATTTTAATATAAAAATGTTTCTTTATCCGCTTAATTCAGAGCCAAATGGTAGTTTTTAGATGTGAGGATCGCATGATATTTCAAGTTGTTATATATCTCAGAAATCAGGCTTGCAGCTTACTTTTGAAACCTATATAGCATACAATATATTAAGTTGAGTATTTGCAGACTTGTCTTATAAGCATTTTTCTGCAAGCGAAAATGTTAATGTTACAAATAATTATTAAATAAGAATCATTTGGGGAATGAATAATTCATGGATCAAGTGAAGTTTACAGCGAAAATTACAATTGTTATTTATATGTTATTGAATTCTAGGCGATTTATTTACTTAAAAGTGATTTCTTGCAAATAAAAACATCTATATATTGACGAAGCAAATATGTTGGCGACGATTACTTTTTCCATTTATAATTGTTAGACATTTTTACATTGTTAGCTTTTATCTTAGTGTGGCTTTTTAGATGACTCAACTTTATCAAGAATTGGACGACTTGTCATAGAAGAGCTTTCTTGCGACTTATAGGTTGGCCGAGTGAAGCAAGTATTTGACAAAGCTTAAATGTTTATATTGTTGTTGATATTTTACTCTAGATTAGTAGCCAACCAGTTAGCTATCTTGATATTTTCGTTAGCTTGATTTGATCAAAAGTTAACCAACTTCTCATAGACTTTTAATATCTATACGGAATAATTTATTTTAATTAATTAGAATAGCTCTCAAAGCAATTATGCTCTGATAACACTTTCTCAAGTGCTTCGCTTCTATCTTTTTCTTGGGTTCTTTTGTATTCTTGGTATTGACTCATCCTTTTAAAAAAAAAATTTTATACGCATAATGTTGACAAGAAAACCTTTTTTTTTGAAAATCATATAAATGATAATAATTTATTCTTTAAAGCAAAGTCAGTAGGAAATCTGGTTTGTTTCTTTGGTACCCTTGTTCTCACATCATCAATAATTCAAAAGTAATTCAATTGTGTGCTATCACGCAAAAATTTATCAACTCAAATACCAACTTTTCCCTTTTCTTGTAAATTTACTCACAAAATTTCTCGTGTAATCCCAACCTCTCCTCTTTTTTCAATTATCTAAAATGCCTTAAGATCTTTTTCAGGTTGAGCTATTAATTTTAAATAATGATTAAAATTATTTTATTTATAAATTAATAATCTTCTATTTTTTTTAGCATTACAGAAATTAATAATTATCTTAAGCATTCTCTCATAGCAGTTCCTGCAGATTTTCCAGGTCAATTATATATTAGATGTTTAATTGTGCAGAAATTAAACCTAAAAGAATTATCACCAATCCCAGACATGGTCACTTGCCTTGTGCCTTTTTTGGGACCTTTACATGTGTCTCTTAATACTTGTGAGAGTTGCTTTTTGATGTTTTGGGGTTTCTTTAATGAGTTTTATAAAACAATTTTTCAAAAAAAAAAAAAATTTACCAGCAAAGCCTCAACCTTGGAAGATGGATATTTTGCTATATTTGGCTCATGCATCATGGAAAATAGTCAGAAAACATATTGTTAAACGTTTTGATAAAAGTAAAGATCTTGCATATTGTACCTTTTTTGATTTGTTGGATTCACTGATACCATCAACTTTAGACCTTTATGTGGTACTTTTTCGTGGAAGCCATTTTGATGAATATGTTGAAACAATATTCAGGCTATGGACAATGATGTGCCATTTTCAACGAAAAAATTATAATAAAATCATGCTTGCATACTTATCAGATATTTAATATTGGATTGAAATCAACCATCCAATCATTCAAATATTAAAGAATTACCTTAATTCATTTGATGAATACCCAGTAGAAAATTTCCACATTCTAGTTAGAAGACACACAAATGCAAAGGTATTAATTCCAGAATGGTTGAGATGTGATGGGATCTTTGTTGATTATCAACGTCATGAGGATAACTTTACCCAAAATTTTAGAATAAAAAAATCATATCCATATTCAAAACAGAATATTGATTTGATGATAAAAAGTGGTGCAATTTTTTTGTTAAGATTTTTTGACAATCTTTCAAAAAATATTGGAAAGTTTGAAAAAAAATTGGAAGGTAAAAAAATCAAAAAGTCTTACTGTATTTTCCAGGAATTTCAAAAGGATTTGCCAAAGGAGCATTACCATTAGGACACCATTCAAATCAACATCCACATCTTGATTGTTTCTGTGATGCAATCAAATGTGAAAATCCTTATTTAATTAATGGACATGTTAAATTATGTAGTCATGCTTATTGTGATGACTGCTGGAAACAATTAAAGTTTGTATGCATTCATTGTCATAATTACCTTCAGATTCAATTGATGAATTATCTGAGTCATATAATAAATGATTGGAAATGGATGAAATTCAAAATGAGTTTGAGCCACCTATAGATGAACTATTACAAGAAGAAGAATCAAATCAAGTTGATACAGTACCAATTTATGAAGAAATAAATCAACAATTAAATAGAATACTTACAGGTACTACAAATATTATTATATAAACTCTATGTTGTATAATTATTGAATATATCAAATATATAATTAGATTTCAGTAAAAACAAACCCTTAGAATTCTAAAAGCAGCTAATTCTGGAAGTAAAAAAAAATAGTTGATGTTAGGATGAATTTGATGAGATTATTTTTATTTTTTAGAATCCAAAAATTTCGAGTGAAATAAACACTTGCCAATTCAGCATATTATTACATTATATTTCCATTGAGTTATAGAATAACCAAAGTTTTAACTATTTTAGTTTTTTTACTGATTAACGATTAATAGACAAAAGATTATTTAATTTTTTTTTGCAGAAAATGGTTTTTGCATGAGAATTCTTTTTACAAGTCCCCAGTTTTAAATAAGAAGAGAGAACATTGAATAATAAATAAAATTGAACTATTATACATTTTGCTCGAGTAAATGTTAAAATTGATATTTTTAATTTCAATTTTCATTGGTCAATCTCACTTGATTTTTGTAATACCATAACAGCCAATGATAGGATTTTTATCTACTTATCTTATTTATTTCATACTTGAACTGTGCTTAAATTATACTTAAATTACACTTAAATTACACTTGATTTATACTTGATTTATTCTTAAAATTAATATATAGAAAATATATTGTTTATTTAATTAAATAGATATTTTTTTTATTTTTTTAAATACAAATAAATTTATAAATAGCAATAATAAAAGTAATAACTAATTTCTTTCTTTAATTGTTGTGTGAAAATAACCCATTGTTTAATTATGAACCCATTTTTGAAGAAAGAAATATTAATACAATGTTATATATATAATAACAATAAAATCTATTATTGATGATATATTGTTACTTACTACATTATGCTTTGATGATCATGTGTAACTAATAGTAAATCCCATTTGGAAGTAAAGAAATATTAATTGATGATCTGTCTATTAATCAGAGAAATGTTGATCATTTTCATATAAAATTGTGGGGCTTATTTAATTTAATAAAATTAATTTTTTCTCAAATCTCAGTGTTTCTACTTGTTAACCCAATGTCAAAATATAAAAAAATACTTATAGCACTGGCGAAATTGATCAAGATATCCATTATAGTCCATTTGCCATTTATTGGTGGAATTTTATTGAAGAAGAAAATATAAAAATATGTTATCCAATAAGAATTAATATGAGAATTAAGATTGAGTTCAATAAAAAAGAGTTTATTATTCGAACTGTTGTAAATACAAATGATGGTATGAAGCCTGGTTATATATATGAGGAAGATAACGATGCAATGATTTATTCAACACCAAGTGAAGTGGTAAATGAAAATTATAAAAAAATTTTTGATAAAGCAACACATTATCCTGGTCCAAGCATTTTGGGTTTTGATGATAAAATATTCATTGAACAATTACAGGTAAATGTTTTATTTTTTCCATTTGAAATTGTCACTAATGGTATTAAAGTTTTTTGTAGCAGCACTTGGTAGTTTAGATGAAAGAAGTTAAATTTTGCAGGTTCTGGCTATTGTTCATCTTTTCATTACAGATACTCTGGAAAAAAATCTTTGATATGTCAATCAATAAATGACAAAAATTGTCAAATTGATATATATTTTCAAGGAAAATAGTTTATACACAAACTGGAATAACTCCTACTGATGTTTAGGAAAAGTTGCCTATTGTGAAAGGTACTCATGGAAAGGAATTATTTGGTTTATGTGATCAACTTGTTATACAAGCAATTAAAAAACATATAGATGCACCTTATTGCACATCCTCTCATTGGGATAATATTGAAATCATGACAAATGCATTTAAGAGATGTCTTAAAAAGAAAATATCAGTTGTCAATGTAGGCTGGTATCAATTTTTTACCAAATGGAAGCAACAATCAACAACCATTATAGAATTTTACTTCACATATTTCTTCTATTTATTCAGAAGAATCTGAGGTTGCAGATATTATATTAAGGTCATGGAGAAGGATGATGCGTTATGTTGGATGCATTAATATAATTCCCTATGAAAAAGATGTATCAAGAGTAAGTATTTAACTACATACCATAATAATAAATTCTATTATTATAACTGACAACTATCAATTTTCTATTTAATAATCAATATAATAGCTTGAGTTTTGGACATGTACAGTAGATGCATCAAGTGATCGTGCTTTGATGTTCTATCTATATAAAAATAATCTTATAAATGGTGCTCCATACAATCCAGTAGTAGCAGAATTATTGATGAAGAACTGTGAGCTTCAAGATAAAATTGATAAATTTTGGGATAGCTTTAATGTTTCAATCCAGATGAACAAACATGGATGGGATGGTAAACGAAGGATACTATCAATTATTGCTGATAAATTTTTGTATCGTGAACTACAAGAAAATTTGAAGGTAAATTTTTTTATTGATGATTTACATCAACACAATAATCAAAATTTTCACACAAAATTGTTTTTAAATTTTTTAGATTTCAAATGATATGATAATTGCTGCAAAAATTTATTCATGAATTAATGGTCCTGGTTGTGTTGCAAGGGAAAAACCTGTAGTTACTCAAAATAGGATATCAGAAGTCAAGAATCAGGAGTTTGAGGCTTTTTTTGCAGATAAAGACAATGTAAGTATGAGCTCTTATAAAGTTGATACTAATACAAACCTTCCAATTCTCTATTTGAAGGATAACAAGCAAGAACTTTGGAAAAAATTCGAGGCTACTTATCCTGATGGAATTAAATGCACATCATTTATGGCACACTTGGCAAGTGGACCATATGTATATTGAAAGGATCTGGGTGGTCTATGCAGTATCTGTGATGATTATTTTTATGAGGTTTTTACTACATTGAATAGCATAATCCATTGGGGTGTCTCACATCATATGATTTACAAACATAGTTGATCACATATATAAATTTTCATTAATAAGGATTTTTTAGGGGTTTTGCGGATTTATTATTATTTTTTTGGTGCCACAAAAAAATTTTTAAATTTATTATACAAATTGGCAAACTTCGCACAATTACAAAACTCAAAATAACTCTTAAACTATATGTCATATTCAAATAAAAATTTATGTTTTAGATTCACTTTTTGATGCTATTTAAACTAATAGAAAGCTTTTTACAATTTTACTTGCATAAAATTTTGTAACATATATTTGCAACTTTTACTTTGATTTTCTAGCTTAAAATAAATGCCATTGTTTATATTAAAATAAAAAAAAGGGCTCTATTACTTTATTGTCCTATTTCTCTAGTATGTTTTAAACTTAACTTGGAGTCAGCATCTCTATTCTTTAAAGAGTTATAATCATTCAAAGTTTACTATTGAAAAAAAGATCGGCAAAAAATTGTCATAAATGAAAATTTATATTTGTGATTAACTATGTTTGTAAAATCATATAATGTAAGACACCCCAATAATCCATGCACACATAACTGATAAAGAAGAAAAGGTAACTAAAATAATATATATTTTGTTTACATAATCAGAAAT